CGTATCTATTCCACCAATACTAATGATAGGTTAGCCTGCAGCATGTCATTTTGTCAAGGATATTCGTTCAAAGAAAGCGCGTCAACATGATCCACACAAACGATATCGCTTTCCATGGCCATCAGACCTATACGAGAAGGCGGGGATATCCACGATTGACGAGAAGTGCAGCAATGATGCAACACTGTGAAACCAAACGAGTAGCACGCAATACGCGATGTATCATTACAAGCACCAGTCTAGGCTACCTATTCCGACGACATAAACCTTTTGTACAGCCACACTGGTTGTCAATGATGATGAAACGAAGAGCACGACAATCATTATTCAAACTAGAGAGAGGACGACGTCTAGAAGAATGGCGATCATGGCTAGTCATAGAGGAGAAGATGATGCGTCAATTGGGCATTAATGATGCTGGATGGAGTAAGTATCTATGAATGAGTTTGATATGCATATATTACTATCATTGTTCTAATCATTGTTGATAGCCAAACTAATTAATGAGGAGCTGAGTCAGTCCATGAAACGTAGACAACAATTAGAGGAGGCATTAGCACGACAGGAATCATTGGACTAGTACGCTTAAACGTGAGCCTCATTCATAATAACATTGATAATACATAATGTGAATGCAATTAGTAGAATAAATGTACGAGTACTATTTAATAACTAGAACTATACTCCAACGGTAGTTGTCAATTAGGATACAAACAAATCATCGGTTACCACCATAATAAACATGATACCACCGACTAGTAAACTTAATAGAATAAATGTATGATCGAATTGACCACTGGCTTTTGTTGACCATGGATTGAACAGCGAGGTACGGAATACGGCGAATGCAGAGTTTAGATCATCATCCGACAATGGACGACAAGTACACTGGATAGTAAGTTCACATCGGAAATCGATCTTGTGTCCAGGACAGACGACATCCTGACATGTGTCTCGACTGGCCGCGCACTGTTTCTGGCTCAGTTTTATGGTTGGCGACGCATTTATACGAATTGCCGTGAGACTCGTGGCACCAGGTGCGGCTGTTGCGGTCACCGTCACCGGCATACTATTGCCATCGACATCCGTAGATATACTAGTGATAGTCGTGGTAATCGATGTAGTAACCGTATGCGTGAGTGGCGGTAGAGTGATGGTGCTACGCGGTTTACTCGAACTAGTTGGTTTGCCGCTTGGCTGACTGGATGGTTTAGTGTCTGTGCTCGTTGATGTTGATGACGAGCTAGATCCAGAATTGGATGGCGAACCTGAACTGCCACCGGATGAAGGAGCGGACGAGCTTCCATCCGATGAGGATGGTGATGAAGAGGGTGATGGTGATGGTGATGGTGATGGTGCGGGCGATGGTGCACTTGGACTTGCAGCAGGCGATGGACTATCCGGCTTTGTTGATGGTGTGTCAGCAGCGGCAGGCGATGAGGCCTGCGGTAGTGCGTCGACAAAGCTTACACCGAATACCAAATCTGATGAGAGATGGAGTATATTGGTTGTTACATTGAGGGCAAGTAACGTAAAAAGTAGACCAATGCCTAAACGAGTGCAAAAGCGTGTCATGGTGCAACAATATTAAAGATGATTATAGATTAATGGCAGTTGTAGTAATAGCGGATGTCGATGTAATAAGAATGATGATATAACAATTCGACGTATGTGTAGAGTATTAACAATTAATCGAGATATATGTACTAGTACTAGTAGAGGGTGTAGGTAAAGCAGAAATAACTGTAAGTAAAATAAAAGAGCAACTAAATAACGGGTCTATCGACTTGAATCTCTACAACTTGGTACTTATCTAGCACCAATACAATGAGCAAAGCTAGCTTGTGTAACCATATGGCCTATTCATGTGGACGATGAATAAATGTGCGATTATACGAGCTGCGTGAGCAGGAGACACGCACGAACCGCGACACGATGTACATGACCATTTATCGCACATGGCAATGTACAAGGAGTAAGAATAGCAAGCTAGTGCATGATGTACGCCAACCAGTATTAAGTATACTGGTTTCATTTATTAGTGATTTCCTCGTAGAAAGAAGGCGTGTTATATTTATATCTTTACCATCTACATTGTTGCAAGCAATGAAAAAGCCGAACAATACGTATTTATGCCCAGGACGCTTTAACGGGAAATGGGATAGATCATGTCTCATTCAATATATTCATTTCAGCGTGTTCACTATCCCTAAATGTGTTCTCCATATTGGATAGTCACGTCAATGTCGTCAATTGTACTACTCCGCTTAATCGGTGAAATACGATTCCGAAGTAAGCGTAGACGTTTTCAGCTTGTTCATGTGCATTTACATACTATTATGAGTCATTTAGCTTCATGCAGGCATAATAAATCGTGATATATATATTATTAGCATTGCATAGTGATATACTGCTAGTAGATTGATCAAATAATTGACAGAGTGATGACGTCAAATGTTCAACGCTTCTTTCCCTCTTCCCCGTTGAATGGCTACGTAAAAGCAAGATGAAACCAAACGAACCATGGAATCGTACAAGTCAAAGTACCATGGCTAATCGGTACTCCCCGGACGCACGTTATTGATAGTACAATGTACAACTCGAACTATATCCCAATAAGGAAGCGGACGGTAAAAAGAGCATGCCTAAAATGTTTCGTTTGGCATGTTGAAATGTAATAAATACAGAACAGTAGAAATGACATTCGTAAAAAAAAGCTTCGCTATTTCTTTTTCCACGCACACTAAATAGATTTGACAATATGACGCGACATTCATTCATGATTATTTGCCTTTTGACATTAACGATTTTTACGACATATATCTCGTTGATAGACTGCCGTGTGTTCTTAAAGAGATCTTTAAACCAAGGAGAAGAAGAAGCGGATGTGGACTATTCGCGCATGATCAATGATACACTCAGCAACAATGTACGATTAACGAAGCAAACAACGCAAAAGTTGACACGAAGACATTCGGAAGAAAGATATAGGATTGTCCCTAGTTTTTTACAACCTGTTATACATGACACTCTATATGGAAAGACGGTGACGCCTATGAATACTTATGCTACGACTGGGGTAATGACAGCTCGCTCGTACGATTTATATGGTCGCGGCATCAAAATAGGCATTATCGACAGTGGTATTGATTTTCGACATCCAGCACTGGGTGGTAAATTCGGTCCAGGTCATACGGTTGCTTACGGTTACAACTTTGTCAACAATTCGTATAGAAGAGGCGCAAACCAAGTGGAAGCCGATTCGCTTTTGGATTGTATCGGACACGGCACTAGAGTGGCCGGTATTCTTGCAGCTCGTACGAAAACGTATGTAGGTATTGCACCGAATGCTACACTAGGCGCATATCGTATATTCGGATGCATCGATGCTCCAGTTCAACTAGATACCGTTAAAAATGCATTTGAGAAAGCATACGACGATGGTATGCACATTATCTGTCCTCATTTCCGTGTTCAAGCGAGTAATTTTGGCGTAGCCTTAGCAAAGCTGATGGAGTTCTACACGAACAAGGGCGTCATTGTCATCTTCCCTACCAGTAACATAGAAATATCGGATGGACAACTATGGGGACCAGCATATTGGCAGAAATGCCATCGGTTCTACTGGCAGGACCTGCCGAGATGGAGTATACACCCATCAATACATTCAGTGTCGTGAATTATCCAATCAAGCAGGTACCATACGTGAATGTTAACAACAACAATCCATTACCAAGTGGCGAATATAAGCTGGTTTCAATTGCACCATCATACAACATGCAAAGCTGTAATCTCCCGAATGATGACGGTGTTTCCAATAAACTGATTTATTTGGATCATCAACTATGCAACATTAAAACAATAGGTAATCGCTTGAAGCACTATGGTGTGGTCGGTATCATTATCAACGATATGCGCCTGTCGATCGACAAGTCGCGCATCCCAATTATTGCGATAACTCCTGGGTATATACAACTGCTCATGGAAGCGGGCAAGAATGTAAACTACGTTGAACTCATGTTCAATAGCAATATGAACTATGAGCCGCAAGTGGAAGGCATACCAAACTTGTCAACGCTAGCACTGCAACAACAACTGAGCATGGATATAATTGCACCAGCAGGACCTCTTTTTACTACCACGTTTACGCAGGAACGATACGAGATTCGCAAGGACATGTCATTAGCATCGGCTTACATGTGCGGTGTGGCAGCATTATTCATCGAATTGCACGAACTACCAAATGGCGAACGAATCAATCCCGTTGTGTTTAAAAATGCTATGAAGAACGCGGCAATCCCTCATGCTGTATCTAGTATGGGAATGGTTGCACCGGTACTAAAACAAGGTGCCGGTCTAGTTCGTTTAGATCGAGCAATAGCGGCAACATTCGGTGCAACACCAACTACCCTGGAACTTGGTGATATAAAAGCGCAAGATCAATACGGTAAGGTGAAAGCGCCTGTCACCATACACAACTATGCCAATTACCCGGTGACCTATACCATCTCCCATCTACCTGCCTTATCGTTAAGCAATATTGGCACAAACGACGCTCTCCTCAAACCACCACGAATGCTACAAAATCACGCCACGGCTACACTTCTCCCGCCTGTCACGGTTCACGGTGCACACAGTTACACGTTTACCGCCGAGCTATATGTGCCCAACTCGTCGAAACACGGCGACAACATAGTATACTCGGGCTATATCGTCATTGATCCTGCTCATACACCTAATAGTTCACCGTCAGATCAAGCTGTCTACGTCCCGTACATTTGGTTCAATGGAGATTATCAAGCCATCACGCGCAAGCTGTTGTTTAGCACGACAAAAGTATGGTGATAGACACATAATAATACTTTAATAATAAATAGACAAATTATATTATTATTATCATTAATCCAGCACAATTAGCAGCTACATCTTTATTGAATAAAAAACAAAATAGGATACAGGTAGAAAAGCGGCAATGCAGGAGGCAAAAGAAGCAAAAAGAATCCGAGAACCCGGATTTGAACCAGGGACCTAGAGATGACAGGTTACCACTACAGTCTCCCGCTCTACCAACTGAGCTATTCTCGGCTGTTAAATGTAATCCGCTCCTGTGATATATGAACTTCACAGTAGGATTTCCTCACTTTAACGAATCTCCACCTAGATTTGATCACGTGATGATACACTTGCTCATTATTACGTCAGGATCTATAACGATCACCCACTCGCCTCTTATTCCCTTACACAAACAATCAACAACCACCCGACGATTCAACATAAAGTAGCATTCGCCATGCTACGCTTCCCGCTCATCAACAAGTACTACGCGAACTAGTACATCTTCGACTAACTCGGCAAAGATGCGCTGTAGCAAACTCACATCTACTGCTGGTACCTCTTTACATTCATAGCTGTTCTAGCTATATAAGCGTACTTACATTTATACGAAATAAAGACATTATCTTATCACACACTTACTCATCGAACAATACCCTCTACTCTACAATTCTCTCAACTTATCATAGTGTCTTATCTTAACACGAGCTCTCGAATCTATCGTAACATTATTTCAGGCAGAACAAATTGCCGCGTTACAATTTTGGTGCTCACTACAGGGAGTTCTTCTAGCTAAGACTAAGACATTTATTTTTCATATTTAGTTACATTTCTACATCAAGTATCGCAATGGACGGCAAGATCGGATGTATGGAAGCCCCTACCTTCGGAAGACGCAAGAGTGAAGACCCCGAGAAATGGCTGAGCCGATTCAAGAAGATCAAACGTGCAAACAATTGGCTCGACGACCAAGCAATCGCAATGGCAGGAGTCAGCTTAGAAGGGACGGCCGAGGCATGGTATGAATCCATCGAAGAAGTGACTACGACCTGGCAAGAATTCGAGAATGCCTTCCGTAGTAAATATGTTACCGTTGGCTATAAACATCATGCAACTAGGCAGCTCTTCTCGTATCGTCAAGGAAAAGAAGAATCCATCGACGAGCTACTCACCACATTGGATAGCCTGATCAAGCGTGCGGAAATTACAAGCGACGAGGTCAAGTTGGAATTACTAGCTCAAGCCATTCGACCGGAGTACAAGCGTGAATTTCGAAAGGAAGGTCCAAATACATACCGACGAGCCAAGGAGTTATTACTGCGAGAAGAAAGTCTTGATTTAGAAGCGCAGGATATCTTACCAAGTATCAAGGCATCCTACGACCAACCAGCGTTAATTGGTCGGACCAAGAGCGAAGAAAGCAAGAGTCAGTCTCTCGAAACCAGCATGGAACGTCTAATGGAGCGATTTCAAGAAATGTCGCTCAACATGATACAAGCCATGGTACAAGAAAAGAACAAGCCCCTGGAACGTATCAACGCATGATGGAACGTGTGTTCGCTGATATGTTATGGAAAAACGTCATAGTATTCATTGACGACATTATTATTTACTCGAAGAATGTGGACGAACATTTGGACCATCTAAAAATAGCCCTCGATAGATGCCGAAAAGTTCAACTTCAACTATCTCCCACTAAATGCTTCATTGGATATCAAGGACTGGAATATTTAGGTTTTCGAATTTCAGCTCATGGTTTAGCACCCACCCCGAACAAAATCGATGCGATTATACATGCTAAACCACCTACTAACGTTACGACAGTTAGATCATTTATGGGCCTGGCCAGTTATTATAGACGCTTTGTGGAAGGCTTTGCAACTATATCACGCCCATTAAATCGATTAATGCGGAAGAATACGCCCTGGTCGTGGGATGAAGATCAAATAGAAGCGTTTCAAACGTTGCAATCCAAACTCGCTAACGCTCCTATTCTACGATTTGTAGATTGGAACTTACCTTTTGTTTTAACTACAGATGGATCGGGACGAGGTCTTGGAGCAATCCTACAACAACGGTTGCCCGATCAGAAGGAAGTTGTTATTTCTTATGCTAGCCGTAGTCTCAGTCAAGCCGAAAGCAATTATAGTCCCACCCACCTGGAAGGACTCGCCGTCATATGGGCTGTAAAGCATTACCGACATTACCTGTATGGACGACGATTTACGCTTAAAACGGATCACTCTGCATTATTATCGCTATTTAAGACGTCAGAACCACTCACCGGTCGACTAGCTAGATGGCAATTAATGTTAATGGAATACGACTACGACATCGAACATATCAAAGGCAAGATAAACCCGGCCGATTACTTATCTCGACATCCAGCTCCTATGGAACAGCATACCGACCTATTTGCAATGTCATTCACCTTCTATAACGCAACTAGAGATTATGTGAACAAAATGGTTTATCCTACCAACGCCACGGAAATTGAAAGAAAGCGATTACGAAGAATCGCAGGAAAGTATAAGGTTATCGATGATAAATTGTATCAAGTTATCAATAATCAGGAAAAGGAAGTATTACATGAGCATAACGCTCACGAGGAAATAGCAAGGATACATAATGAAGGACACAATGGTGTCGAAAATACATGGAGACGTGTGAAGATGCGTTTCGCCGGCATCGGTTTATACAAAGTCGTAAAAGAAGTAGTAAAAGGATGCGACATATGCCAGCGGAATACTACGACGGCCATTAGACATGAACCTATGCATTCTATCAGTTCCAGTTATCCATTCCAATTACTCGGTGTTGACGCCATGGGACCCATCAACCCCATCAGTACGTCCGGAAATCGATATATTTTGACAGCTATCGATTACTTCACTAAATGGCCTATTGCTCGAGCTACCAAGGATATCACCACTGAGACGGTCATTCGTTTCTTAATAGAAGATGTTGTGGCATTATATGGAGTTCCTCAGCAGTTAATTACGGATCGAGGAGCCGACTTCACGAGCGATTTAGCCGACGAATTCTTTAAGTATTTACGAATTCATCATACTCCTACTACTGCTTATAGACCACAAGCGAACGGTCAAGTAGAACGGTTAAATCGAACATTGAAAGAGCAGCTAACTAAACTGACTAACGGCAATTTACAATGGGATGTAGATTTATGGAAAGCTTTATTAGTTATTCGCACCATGACCAGTGCTACTACGAAGTTTACCCCTAGTCGTTTGTTATATGGTTATGAGCTCAAAACGCCAGCCGTGTGGACGTTGAATACGAATAGTTTCATTGATTCCGAAGAAGAATACGATCAACGTTTACAAAGTATTCAGTACGAATTACCGAAGTTACGAGAAGTGGCTCAAGAGAATACGCGAATTGCACAGATACGTCAGAAGATTCGCTACGATCGAACGGTTCAACCGCGTTCTTTCCAACCAAATACGGAGGTTTTATTACGGGTAATGGTATCATCAAGCGGAAAATTCACTAACTTGTATGATGGACCGTACAAAGTCATTCGTTTATTACACCCCGGTACTTACCTTATATCGGATGGTAAGAGTTTCGATATCGTTCACGTCGACAGACTTAAACCATACCACGAATATCAACAAATGATACCTGTCGTTCGACCAAGCCAACTACGATCCACTCTTCGTCGCTTCCGACAACCTTGAACGAGGACGTCAAGCATTTGTGTGGGCATGTAATCCGCTCCTGTGATATATGAACTTCACAGTAGGATTTCCTCACTTTAACGAATCTCCACCTAGATTTGATCACGTGATGATACACTTGCTCATTATTACGTCAGGATCTATAACGATCACCCACTCGCCTCTTATTCCCTTACACAAACAATCAACAACCACCCGACGATTCAACATAAAGTAGCATTCGCCATGCTACGCTTCCCGCTCATCAACAAGTACTACGCGAACTAGTACATCTTCGACTAACTCGGCAAAGATGCGCTGTAGCAAACTCACATCTACTGCTGGTACCTCTTTACATTCATAGCTGTTCTAGCTATATAAGCGTACTTACATTTATACGAAATAAAGACATTATCTTATCACACACTTACTCATCGAACAATACCCTCTACTCTACAATTCTCTCAACTTATCATAGTGTCTTATCTTAACACGAGCTCTCGAATCTATCGTAACATTATTTCAGGCAGAACAAATTGCCGCGTTACAATTTTGGTGCTCACTACAGGGAGTTCTTCTAGCTAAGACTAAGACATTTATTTTTCATATTTAGTTACATTTCTACATCAAGTATCGCAATGGACGGCAAGATCGGATGTATGGAAGCCCCTACCTTCGGAAGACGCAAGAGTGAAGACCCCGAGAAATGGCTGAGCCGATTCAAGAAGATCAAACGTGCAAACAATTGGCTCGACGACCAAGCAATCGCAATGGCAGGAGTCAGCTTAGAAGGGACGGCCGAGGCATGGTATGAATCCATCGAAGAAGTGACTACGACCTGGCAAGAATTCGAGAATGCCTTCCGTAGTAAATATGTTACCGTTGGCTATAAACATCATGCAACTAGGCAGCTCTTCTCGTATCGTCAAGGAAAAGAAGAATCCATCGACGAGCTACTCACCACATTGGATAGCCTGATCAAGCGTGCGGAAATTACAAGCGACGAGGTCAAGTTGGAATTACTAGCTCAAGCCATTCGACCGGAGTACAAGCGTGAATTTCGAAAGGAAGGTCCAAATACATACCGACGAGCCAAGGAGTTATTACTGCGAGAAGAAAGTCTTGATTTAGAAGCGCAGGATATCTTACCAAGTATCAAGGCATCCTACGACCAACCAGCGTTAATTGGTCGGACCAAGAGCGAAGAAAGCAAGAGTCAGTCTCTCGAAACCAGCATGGAACGTCTAATGGAGCGATTTCAAGAAATGTCGCTCAACATGATACAAGCCATGGTACAAGAAAAGAACAAGCCCCTGGAACGTATCAACGCATGATGGAACGTGTGTTCGCTGATATGTTATGGAAAAACGTCATAGTATTCATTGACGACATTATTATTTACTCGAAGAATGTGGACGAACATTTGGACCATCTAAAAATAGCCCTCGATAGATGCCGAAAAGTTCAACTTCAACTATCTCCCACTAAATGCTTCATTGGATATCAAGGACTGGAATATTTAGGTTTTCGAATTTCAGCTCATGGTTTAGCACCCACCCCGAACAAAATCGA